GGGGCCAACTAAGCCTGCACGCCACAACTACTGAGCTCAGGCACCTCAGCTAGAGAGCCTGAGTACCACAAACTACAGAGCCCATGCGTCCTGGAGCCTGCGCACCACAACTGAAGAGAAAACCCACGTGCCGCAACGAATGATCTCGCATGCCACAACTAAGACCCAATGCAGCCAAAAATAAATAATAAATAAGTCTTAAAAAAAGAAGAGGGACTCTATTGGCTCAAACAACTGGGAAGAAAGGGGGTCATGCAGGTCTGACTGTGCCCAGAGTCTCAACTATTATCATCAACTCTTCCTCTCTCTCTCTTTTTCTCCTCGATCTGTTTGTTTGTTTTTCAGTCTGTGGCATCATTCTCTCTCCTACTGAATATATTCCTCCTCCAAATTGTGGGAAAAGAAGAAAACATGGTTGGAACTAGTCTGATTTTATATCATCCCACTAGTAAAAACAAATCAAAACTGCATCAGTATATATAAATCCCCTGGAAAGACTGATCAGACTTGAGCCACCGCTTTTAAAAACTCCCTGTGCTCCAGGTGATCTTGTACTATGATGGGCTACACATCGATCAGATACCCATGTCTGTGGTCACAGACATAGAGTATAGTGACTTACAGCGCCACAAGGGTCACATCAAATGGCTACTGCTAGAGGAGCAAATTTCTAAAGAAAAGCATGTTATTGCCATAAGAAGGTAGGAGACATAGTAGGCAGCTAAAACAGCAGTAATGCACTATGCCACCTATTATCCTTTCTGAAAAAAAATTCTGGAAATCATAATTCTGCAAAACAAACAAACAAAAGGAAAAGAAGAATAAAAATTCACAGAAAGAAAAACGCATGAGCAAGCAGAGAAACAAGCAAAATGTATATTTCTATCCAAATAATTGTTGATAATATGCTTATGAAGTAAAATACAGTTAAGATATACATGTATATTATTATGTAATCATGTATTTTATATATATTACATATATAATTGTTAAGAAAGGAGTTATAAAAACATAATAGGCATTTAAAAAACTGAAAAACTGCAGATGATTCAAGATCATTGTGTAGGGGGAAGGAAGTACTCAAGAGCAAAGAAAAGGTATCCTAAAAATCTCATCTTATTTAAATGGATAAAAGGGAGAAAGTTTTATATGTATTGTTCAGTTATCTATGTTAATAGGAAAACATATGTTTAAATACATATATGTTGAAATTTTAAAAGTAGCACGAAAATAGTGGCTCTCAAATTTTTAAAGCACTAGAAGGAGAAAAACATGGGAAAAATTATCAAACCAGGACAAGCCACAAAGTGAGTTAAATATGGGCAAATAAGAAAGCATAATAAAAGGAAGAGACAAAAGAAGATGGCAGGAAAGAGAAAACATATAAGTAATTACAGTAAGTAGAAATGCATCACATTCCCACATTCTAAGAAGACTGTCACATGAGGTTTTAAAAAAAAGCAAAATGGAAAATTCAGTTTTATTTTATTTTTAATCAAAAAATATATTATTTTTAATATTTAAAATATTTTTAAATATTTTAAAGGAATGACACAAAGAGATTGAAAAGAATGGAAATATCAAGATATTCCTGTCAAATGATACCAAATTTAAATCAAGAATGGCATTGTTAATATCTAAGCAGAGGTAGGGCAAAAATCAATGTGACAAAAAGGGAAATTTTATATTGAGAAAATATAAAATACCTCAAAAGAATTTAAATTTTATTCACCAAACAACACAATAACAAATTATATAATGGAAAAAAGTTAGATCCAAGGAGATTCAACAAAAATTAAATCATGAAAACTTTTAACATACACCTCTCAGAAGCTGAAAGAAGTACACACACAAAAAAATAATTGTAATTCTATAATGACAAGGCTAGACTTTTTCGACATTGAACTGTGTTCCTAACATCTAAAATATATACATTATTTTTAAATGTCTATGGCATATTTATAAAAATTAATCATGTACTAGGCCACGAAGAAAATCTCAATACACTACAAAATGTAGAAGAAATAGTATAGGCCACATGGTCTACCCATAAAGTAATAAATATAGAAAGCAACAAAACAGGAATGTCATTAACCTCTTGCCAAGCTTGGAGACTCAGTAACAACCTGCAACACTGCTGTGGGGATTCTCCCTTCTAGCCTTTCATAAGGAGTCCAGGGCCCTGACCCCTTATTCTTGATCATAATGGGGTGATCTGAAAGAAGGGGATGTGAATATGGGATAAATATTAGACAGAACAAGAAACTCTTGAGCATGGAGGGTCTCTCTCCTGCTGGGGAAGGGGAAGGTATGGATGCTCTTCACCTAAAGCTAACGGAAAGAATAGGTAGGGTACTGACACAAATTTCACTCAAGGAAAACTGGGAAGGATTGCAGGTCTTTCTGAGAATGCCCATTATTCTAAGCGTGTCATTTTTAGTGAGAAAGTGATAGTTAATTTATTTATAAATTCACTGTGTGGCTTAAAATACAAGACAGAATAGGAGCAGACATGAGGTGGAAGGCACAGTCTGGGATACATTCCATGAAGCTGTTGAGAGTGCTAAGCACAGGTAAACTGGCCTCAGTTTCTCCCCCATCCACTCTTCCTCCTCTGCATGCTCAGTTATCTCACAGTCTCCAATAACTCCAATCAATTTCCAGCCAGCATCAGTCTTTTTATTTCTGCTCCATGAATCTCTTCTCAAACGTGTCAGCCTCTTGCTGAACCTTCTCTACCTTACTGGACTGAGGGAAACTTGGCTCTCCCCTAAAAACGTTGCTTCCCCTGCAGCCTTCTCAAAAGGAGGCTGGTGTTTCTCCCATGGCACTTCTACCACTGATTCTGAAGTAGGGTAAATGTCCTTCATGTTTTCATTGCAGCTTTCAAGAATTTGCCCTACCTCCTTCCTAAAAATCCATAGCTTTGAAACCAGGTTATCAAATTCACCCTCTAAACCAACATTATTGCTGTCATCTGAAGTCCCTAGGTCATACCCCTCACTTCTGAACAATTTTAGCGTGGCTCACCATCACTCTCTAATACTACTCCTTTCATATTTGTGGTAATTTCAGTGTACATTTAAATAAATTCTCCTGGCACTCCAACCTGTTAGTTACTTGATTTTTTTCCTATAATAATAATCTTCTCGTACTACCTCAGTCACTTGTTCCCATTGCCAGATCCTAGACACAGCAATCTCTCCACAATCTCAGTTTCATACATCTTATTCTCTGCCACAATCTCCTATCTTGCAAGCTCATTTCCTATAGTCTTCCAAACCCAATAATCCTTTGATTCCACTGGGACTTCCAAGTCATTAATCCTACCACTCCTTCACGGTCCCTCATTCCTTTTGATGTCCTTACTCTTCTCCTCACCCGGTTTAGATTACATAGTTAATCCTGATAATTAATCCTTGTTATATTCCTTGCCCTTCTCTCACTGATGGGAATTTGCTTGGCGAAATTTATGCCACTGGTTATATCCAATCCTCTACCAACTCTAAGTCTGAACACATGAAGCTGAGCATGACTGGAAGAAAATGCAATTCCACACATGACTGCTCTTACTTTAAAATTCAACCATGAACCTCAAATGGGACCCTAATATTGCCAGACAAAAAACCCATAGATCTTGGTCTACTGATTCTCCTACTCTCCTAGACAACTATTTCAGATGTTCTTCTCTCTTTGGAAATCCTACGAACACCTCCTTTATAAACATCAATCTCAGCATATAATCAGTTTCCTATATTATGAAGGATTTGAAATAATCAAAAGAGAACATCCAGAGACTTTCACCATCACATCTACACATACCTGCCTTCTCACCTGTTAGCAGAAATAATAAACTTGTAAGCTCCTATCTAAAGCCAATCTCCCACAAGTTCACTAGATAACCATCTCTTTTTGCCTACTCGTAGACAAGTTTCTAGCAATTCTTCCCTTTCTCTCCTACATCAATTTTATGCTCTTTATTCTCCATCAGCATACAAAGAAACTATCATTTCTCCCATGTTTAAAATAATCCTCTTTTCACTCTTCCCCTATAGCTACTACCCCCATTTCTCTGCTCCCCTTTCCAGCAAAACTCCTTTAAAAGCCGCTGGTATTCACTGTGGCCTATTTCTCTCCCACTCTTTCTTAAACTCATGCCAATCAAGCTTTGCCGCATTGCTGCACTGAAACCATTCCACTCAACATCATCAGTGATCTCCACATTGCTAAGCCATTGCTAAGCTCAACTGTCAATCTTTTTTTTTTTTTTTGCAGTACATTTTTTTTATTGGACTGTAGTTGCTTTACAATGGTGTGTTAGTTTCTGCTGTACAACAAAGTGAATCAGCTATATGTACACATATATCCCCTCCCTCTTGGACCTCCCTCCCACCCATCTAGGTCATCACAGAGCACTGAGCTGAGCTCCCTGTGCTATACAGCAGGTTCCCACTAGCTATCAATTGTACACATGGTAGTGTATATAGGTCGATCCTAATCTCCCAGTTCGTCCCATCCCCCCTTCCCCCACTGTGTCCACATGTCCATTTTCTTCATTAAGAAAGGAGTGATACACTTTCTTCACTTGGCTTTCCATATATCACACTCCCTTGTTTTTTCTATTAGCTCACGCATTTCTCTCCTCTCCTTTGATATTTTCTCTTCTTTTTATTGATCTTTTAATATCAGAGTGTCCCAATGTTAAATCTTTAGTCCTCTCCTCTATCTACACTCATTCTCTTGGTTATCACATCCATTTCCACAGTTTTAAATACCTTCCATAAACGGTTGACTACCAGATTTAAATCTCTAAAACAGGTGTTGCTTCAAAACTCCGGACTAGCCTATCCTACCCTTAACATTTCCACTTAGATATCTAATAAACATCTCAGATTCAGTATGTCTAAAACCAACTCCTGATACCAACTACGTTATTCAGCTCAGGCTGCCATAATAAAAAACCACAGAGTGGGCTCAAACAGCAGGAATTTATTTCTCACAGTTCTGGAGAATGGAAGTTCCAGATAAGGGTGCCAGCAGGGTCAGTGTCTGGTGAGAGGTCTCTCCGTGGGTCGCAGATGGCCACCTTTTCTGCGTGTCCTCACATGGCCTTTTTCCTCAGTGTGTGCAGATCTTTTTCTTGTTCTTTCCTCTCCACCATCTATTTCCAACAATCAGAGTGATCCTTTTAATCACAAGTCAGATCTTACTCTCTCATTTCATTCAAGTCTTGTTTCAGTCTTAATTTTTCAATGACCCCTACCCAGACCACCCTACTTAATATTAAAACCTCCTCCTCCACATACATTGCCCCTCTCCCTCACCCCATTCTGCTTTTATTTAACATCTTCTAACATATTATATAATTCACTTAATTGTAATGTCTATTGTTTATGTCTGCCTTGATTAGCATTTAGGATCTATGAGAGCAGAAAATTCTGTCTATTTTGTTCACTGACATATTCTGAGTGCCTATAACAGTGCCTTATACATAGCAAGTACCCAATAAATATTTTGGATGAATTAGTAAGTTAATTCTATTCTTATATTAATGAATAATAATAAGTATTTGAGCAACTGTTCATGACAGTGCTTAGTTAAATATTAATTGTCATCATTTATTAAATGCCTACCATGTACCAGGCACTCTGTTGGACAGCTTACAAACTTTATAATTCTGATAAAAACCGTGAAAGTTAGGCCTTACTATCAACAATTTGGAGATGAAGAAACAGAGAATCTAAGAAATTATAATGAGTTGCAGCCAGATCTATCTGTCTTCAAAACCCCATGCTTCTTTCTGCTACAATATGCTGCTTCTGCTTTCAGTTTATTTGTTTCACACCCTTTTTGGAAATGCAGGGTATGATGTAACCAAAAGTCATAACGTTGCATTTATTTTCATCTCTTGCCCGACTCCTTTTCTACCGAAAAACCAAAACCCAATCTGCTGATTATGTCTCCATATGTCAGAGAAAGAGGTCCACGTTTCCCATAGTACTCAAGTCAGAGGGAAATATTTAAAGAACTAAGTATTAGATCAGAAAGAAGAACTTTCAACATAGACTGTTAAACATCAGTGAAACTGAGAATTAGCACATAGTTATCAGGAGAAATACTTTTATTTCTCCATTTTGCTTCAGAATAGAAAGTTAAGGCAGGCATATTCTGTCAGAATTTCCAAAACTGAAAAGACTTTCATGGCTGAAGGTCAAGGAATGTGAAAAATTTTAAAACTTAAAGAATATTGAATCTATCTATTCAACAATCCTTTTAAAATGTTTTTTGAACTCCTATCACTAAATAAATTTTACCTCTTATAAATCTGCAATTAGGAATGGGATGAGGTAATAATCAATTCATCATAAACTCATTTTTAGGGACTAACTAATGTTAAATAAAATCCTTTCTCACATATAAGAACATTGTCAAATACGACATTACTTCTATTTTGTCCAGTGATGACTTGAAAAAAATTTTAATAAGGTCATGTTTTAATTTTTTAAATTATATGTTCAATGTAATAGATTTAGAAACTTTTCCACCTGTTTGTCAAGCTAGGCTTCAGCATAAATAAAACTATGGTTAAAATATATACATATATGTTTAAAGTGACAAGAAATGTGGACATGAACATAAATGGATTGTTTTGTGCAACATTTAAACTATTACATAATCTTATATGTCTGAGTTAAATATTCATGTATTGATAGATTTATTAATGTCTCATTTATTTGCAATCTTCTTTTTAAAACCCAGCACTGGCAAGGTGCTAACATTTAACTAATGAGTAATGGAGACAAGATATTCAGAGTTCATCAAGAGCCCATAAACCTTACCATCACTTAATGTCATGCCATGCCTTTAATGTTTAATATAAAAATATTTTTTAATTGAGGAAATTAAATTTTCATTAAATTTTTTTAATTTTAGCTAATGCCCTAAATTATGAATACTCAAAATATAGATTCATAAATAGAATTGTAAACATGCAGAAATGTTTTAACGTTTAAAGATTAAGATACTATGCACTGGGCTTCCCTGGTGGCGCAGTGGCTGAGAATCTGCCTGCTAATTCAGGGGACACGGGTTCGAGCCCTGGTCTGGGAGGATCCCACATGCCGCGGAGCAACTAGGCCCGTGAGCCACAACTACTGAGCCTGCGTGTCTGGAGCCTGCGCTCCGCAACAAGAGAGGCCACGATAGTGAGAGGCCCGCGCACCGCCATGAAGAGTCGCCCCCGCTTGCCACAACTAGAGAAAGCCCTCGCACAGAAACTAAGACCCAACACAGCAAAAAATAATTAATTAATTAATAAACTCCTACCCCCAACATCTTCAAAAAAAAAAAAAAGAAAACCACAGCTTTAAAAAAAAACAAAAAGATGCTATGCACTATGATTAGATACTTAACTCTACTTTTTTGGATTTCTTCCTTTCTACTTAGTCTGTGAGATTTAAGAAAAAAAAGAGAATTGACTTTATTTTTATTTAACTTTTAAATGTATAACTCCTGTATCTCCCCAACCAGGTTGTCAACCTCATGAGAGCAACCAAATTTGATATTCATTGTATATCCAGGAGTTATCCTGATGTCTTGCATACTGTAGCACTCAAAAGAAAGGAGAATAAAAGGAAGAAAAGAAGAAAAGCAACATTAAAGCAGACAGCAGTTATAAAGTTAATGGAAGGAGCATTAGCCTTCATTTCAGTTCAACAGCATTTACTATGTGACAGGTACTGTGTTAGGATCTAAAGTCTTATAATCTGCTTACTTGAAAAAGTCTCTTAAACTAAACATTAGTTTCATTATCTGGAATGGGGATGAAAATGGATTGGTAAGAAGATTTAATGACACAAAATATAGAATGCACTATAAACTTTTCAAAAACTATACAAATACACATAAGGATGATAATGATAAACTAGTTACTATTTTGCAAATTTAATTTCAAGTATAATCTCAATTACTTTCACAATTCTATCTCAATTTAAAACTTATCACCTTGATATACTGTCTTTGTAAGAAAAAGCTGTTAAGTAAAGGAACTTTACATCCAATTTCTAACAAATTCCCAAGCAGTTTTCAAAGACACATAGGAATGTGTTAGCCATAGCTAAGAATTCTACCATAAAATCAGTTTGAGTCAAAAACTGGAAAGAGTTGCAAATATGAGAGTTTTTTCCCTTCTGTTGTTATGAAATTATGATGTCACTCATGTGATAAGAAAGGAAAACTAAGCAAAATATTTTTAAATAAAGAGAAGTTCAAAAGTGCTATATATAACACCATGAATGTACTTAATGTCACTGAAATGTATACCTAAAAATGATTAAAATGGTAAATTTGTATTATGCATATTTTACTGCAATAAAAAAACTGCTATATCCTTTTTAAATTTGTTTTATAGTAAAAGGACTTCCATGGAACTTGGCACAGAACATTACACATGTTAAACTGAATTGGCCAAATATGTATAATGGTTGAATTGTGCTTTAATAAAGAAAGTGTCCTGGAAAGTAAATATTCAAAACAAATGCAGACTTCAAAGCATAAGGGTAAATATTCCTCAGCCTATGCTTCATATGTGGAATCCTTTAAGGCAGGATACCCTATTAGTAACTTTTTTATTTATAACCTATAAGTGATGATAAAAACTCCTTTCTAAAATATTAATAATAATAACTATTAGTAATTACATGCTTGCTATGTACCAGGAGCTGTGCTAGACATTTCATGTATATTATCTCTAATGTTAGTCCCATGAAAATCGATCACATAACCCTTACTTCACTCCACTAGTCCCCATAATTACAAACTTTAGAGCTACTGAAACTTCTTTTTTCAGGTGTGGAAAACAGATCACTTCCATAGTATTGTCTTTATAAAAGACCTCAGAAAATCCAAGCAATCATTCTTATGATATAGAATAGGAATTAATTTAAGAGGGAGTTCCTTACAAGTCAGGTAGGCCTAAACCATTCCATGGGTAGGTTCCCTTAAAAGGATGGCTCATGTATAGAAAGAATGATGAGTAATACGATCTGAGTTTTACAAATGAGAGGATTTATAGAAATGAGGTCATTTATTCAGTTCCAAACTCATCATATGCCCTCAGTAAATGTTTGCTGAGAGCATGAATAAATGAATGAGTTAGGAAACAGATCATATACTTCCTACTTGAGATACATGAGAGATAATGATGATCACTACCCTAAATCTTTATTCTTTTTCTTTTCCATCATCCTTTAATAGCAATTAAAAGTTGCTAAAGTACCTAAAAATATTTCACGTTCTTTGTTATCTACATTCAATATCTTTCCCTCTTGGTATTTCTCCTTTTATTTCCAATTAGTAACCCACAGGGTGTTTCATTTGCAGAACAACAGAATATCAGAAGTTATTTTAGTGATTACAATATACCAAATGAAGAAACATTTGAAAGCCAAATGAGGCTACATGACATATTCAGGGTCAGGCAGAGAGAGTCAGAATGAAATCTCAAATCTCCTATTATATTAGTTGTTCAATGGATTTTGCCTCTAAGATTTTTTGGGGGTGGTGGTGGGTGTATTTTTTTTATTGAAGTGTAATTGATTTACAATATTATATTAGTTTTAGGTGTACAACATAGGGATTCAATATTTTTATAGGTTATACTCCATTTAAAGTTATTACAAAATAATGGCTATACCTGCCTCTTAGATTTTATTAGCTAAATTTGTATACTCTCTTAATCTGGAACCATGATATATACGTGAATATTCCACACAGTAGTTGGCAAACTGATGGACATTTATTGGGTCTAAATACATACCTGTTAATACATACTTCTGTTAATACTTGATGGTTATTAACATTCATATAGTCACAGAATTGGAATTACTAATAGTATTTGGTTGTCCATGCAGCACATCATAGGGCATTCATTATACATCACAAAAGTAACACATTAAAATATTCCCTTATATTGGTTAGTGGTTTTGATTTCCACTTAGTAGAAACTTTCCAGGCCTAGCATAGACTTTTACAGCTCCATCTTAATGTTGACCATTTAGTCTCTGGTGCATTTTGGCTCCTAAGTGCAGCTCTTGCTAACAAAATAGAAGATAAAACTTCCTTTGGAGCAATTCTGTCATGGCTTAAAGTGCTTTGAAATGT